AAGTTTATTTTACTAAATTAGTTTCGTTTTAATTGTACCAACTAAAAAAAAAAAATATAAAAAGAATCTTGCTTTACAGTAAAAGGGAATTTGACCAACTAAAAAACCAAAAGTAAAAAAAAAAGTAAAAAAGTTTTATTTTCAAATTAGGGGGTGTTTTCAAAAATAGTTAGATTTATTTGCCCGCCCATTGGTTATCCATATCCTAAATGGATAATATGGTTCTTATCTATATTGACCCGTTTTCAAAAAGTTCATTATCCTATCCATTTTTAGTGGATAATATCGATGGTTAACTGTTTTCTTTTAACCATTTTGCCACCCTACCTATAGGTCACAGGTTCAAGTCGTGGAAGCAGGCATTAATACTTGCATTACGTTAAGCTGTCTACATCATATCCCTTAGGATGCCGTCCTTTCCCGGACCCTGCATGAACGTGAGATGCCTTGTGCATCGGACTATTTTTTTTTTTTAAATGTGAAATCATAATTTAAAAAAAAAAAAATTGGTTGTTATAGTAAAGCGTTGTACAAAGGATGATTATTATTTAATAGTTAAAAAGGTAAAGAATTTGATTCATATGCTTGCTTTTCCTTCCTGCATAAGGGAACTTTGTATCGGGGTGATGAATTTATCTTGAAAATACAATTGACAGGTAAAAAGAAAAACAAGAAGTTTTGAGAGTAAGAATCAATTTCCTTTGTTTCCCATTAACGTTACAAATCTTGTATATTTTGTAGTGTTTTTAGAATGTTTGATATTTCTCCATAATTAATGGAGTATTATTTTGCAGAAAATTATTCGTTTAAATAATTTAACCAATAATATCTAATTATTAGGTGATACTTTCTCTGATTTAGAAGAGGAGCCCATGTCGTAACCGGCAAAGTTGCGCTGCCATGCGACAAGAGATCTCGGGTTCGTCGTGGAAATAGCCTCTTGTAGAAATGCAGGGTAAGGTTGCGCACAACAAACCCCTTGTGGTCTGGGTCTTGCCCCGACCCCGCATATAGGGGAGCTTAATGTGTCAAACTGCCTTTTTTTACTTTCTCCGATATTAAATATTAGTCATTTTAACAAATTGAGATGTTAAAACATTAGTCATTTTAACAAATTAAAACTATTTGATATACTTTTATTTTAAGGAATATAAAGACAACTAAACATAAACCAAATACTATGTTCTGTTGTGAACATATAGTATTAAGATAACGGGAGCAATAAATTTTATTCTTTAAGGCTATAAAAGGAAAGTCAATAAAAACTAGATAAAAAAATAAAAAATAAAAAAGGAAACAACATTAGATTATTTATTTATTACATTACATAGTCTTGAAAAACAGTTCCAACTTCCCAAGAAAGAAAGCCCGAGATCTCTCTCTGATCTCTGTTGCTAAATTAAGTTGTCATTGGCCTCTTCACTATTTTTCACTCTCCTCACCCCCCCCCCCCCAAACAAACCACCCACCCCACCCACCCCCACCCCCGTTTACATCCACCTCTAATACTCTCCTATCTACTGCCACCACCTCATCACCACCATCTCCGCCGCTGTCTCTCCATTTCTTCAGTGTGTGTCTGTGTGTTTTTGTCTTTCTTTCCTTTTAGACTCTGTTTGTGTTGTGTACTGTTTTAAAAACTTACTCTCTTTATTTTTAATCTTATCCATTTCTTCTATAGCTTAGCTTACTCTAAAATAACTCTTACACAAAAATTCTATATCTTCACAAATTTTCTTACTATTTAAAGTCATTCCCTTTTCATTTTTTCTTTTTCTGTTTTTGTAAACGTGAATTATCTTGAATTTTAGCTTCATACTTAATGGGTTTTTTTTCCCTTCTCTACTAGTAGGATTTATGTGAAAATCTTTAATTTTTAAGTTTCTATTTTTGAGTTTCTCTGAATTTTATCAACAGTTTTAGCTCTTTAAATTAGCTCTAAGTAAGTTTCTTTGAGTGAACTAAGAGCTGATGTAAGTATAATATAGTGTTTTCTTGTTTTATTTTTCTTCCTTTTTTGTGGTATTTTAATGTGTAGAAAATTAGGGAAAGACCATTTTAAAAAAAAAAAGAATTAAAATGGATCATAGTAGATTTCAGCAGCAACCAGTAAATTCAGGTTTAACTAGGTATAAATCTGCACCAAGTTCTTATTTTTCTAGCTTATTAAGTAGTACTCCTAGTAGTGATGGTGGTACTAGTATTACTAGTGGAGGTTGTGGTTATACAAGAGATGATTTTTCTCAATTAAAAAACTCTCGTGGTTCGAATAGTAGTGATATAGAACAAGTTTTCGCGAAATTTGTAGCTAGTATTGGTAATCAGGGCTCGAATTCGGGTGATTTTAGTAGTACTCAACAAATTCAGGACAATCCTATGAGTAATATGAATGTGAGATCAGATTTTATTGTGAAACAAGAACCTGAAATGAATTACCAAAACTTAGCTCCACAACATATTGACAATTCGAAGGCGGCCACTTCATTGGAGGCTGTAGATAATTCATTTACATTCATGACTTCAGTGAATTCGACTCGTGTTTCACCTGTGAATATAGGTGGTAGAGTTGGTGCTGGAGCTGGTGGTGGTAATACGAATCTTACTCGTTATAACAGTTCGCCTGCTGGATTCTTTGACTTGATCAGTATTGAAAATGGTATGCTTACTCTTGGTTAAACAATGTTGATAGAATTTACAGTGCTGATACGAAGATTATTAGTACATCCATTTTAAGCTTATATGTTCATAGTATATATTTTTCATATTGGACAATGCTTGTGCTTTTAACTAATTAAGATTCATAGGCTAATTTTCCATTTAGTTCTGGTGCATCGATCCGGTCCGGAGAAGGACCGGATCACAAGGGTCTATTGTAGGCAGCCTTAACCTACATTTATGCAAGAGGCTGTTTCCACGGCTCGAACCCGTGACCTCCTAGTTACATGACAACAACTTTACCAATTACGCCAAAGCTCCCCTTCATATTACTGATGGTAATTGAAATCTAGATAACTTTAAGGTACAAATAGGATTCTTGTTGACATTGACATCCTGTTATAAACTGCATCTATGACAATAGAGATATCGGGTCGAAGAACGGTATAGTCATATATATAGGTAGAGTTCTGCTGAAATATTTTCATGACAAGTGATTTCTAGTGAAATATTCTAAATAAAGATAAGAGGGTCACTAATATGATGTAGCAATAGTTAGATTTTGATTTGCTTATGAGTTTTAAGTAGAAATTTGTGGTCATCTCAACTGTTTAATCTGACAATAGAGTTTAAGTTTGCTAAAATTCCAGCATTTGACAGAATATGGTGCTATGCGAGGCGTAGGGAGTTATGGAACTGGTGCTAATGCTACAACAGAAACTTCATTGTCGACTCCGAAGAGATTCAAGACTCAAGTGGGAATCTCATCGGGGAAACCTCCTGCTTCTCCAGGGCTAATGACTCCAATCTCTGAAATTGGAGATAAAGTCGTGGAAGAAAAGAGTATAGGCGATGAACATAAGAACGATGAGAGTTGCATCACGGATTTCCCTATTCCTTCTTGGGAAGATTCACACATTTTGTCCGACGATTTCCTCAAAGCTGAAGACATTGAGATTGAGCCATTCTCTAATGTAAATGCATCCGATAATCAGGTAATCTTTTGTTATTAGTGTGTCATTAAAGGTGTTGTACGCGTGATTAATTAAAATCCTCGTCTTACACCTACGCGATTTTTATGATGATCAGAATAGTGAAGGTCTATCTCGTCTGCCAATTCCATTATCTCATCATTTGAGTTTGCCCACAAGTACACTGGAGAAACTCTTGCAAGATTCAACACCCTTAAATGTCAGAGCAAAGAGAGGTTGCGCCACTCACCCTCGTAGCATCGCAGAAAGGGTAAATATTTTTAACACTAAAAACTCGTAAACATGTGACATTTGGATTTGATCAAATTGATGTATCTAAGAAGTAACGACGGGGTAGAGAAAAAGCGAAACGGCTTTCATCCTTATGGTTGTTGAAATAATTTTTAGGTGAGAAGAACAAAAATAAGCGATAGAATGAGGAGGCTGCAAGATCTTGTTCCTAACATGGACAAGGTACTTATGAATTTTCGCCAAAATCTGATATAGTAGTAGAAATTTACTGTATTCATTCTGTTTTTTTCAATACATTGCAGCAAACAAATACAGCAGATATGTTGGATTTTGCTGTAGATTACATTAAAGAGCTGGAGAAACAAGTCAAGGTAAATACTAAAGTACTTTGGATCACAATGAGCAATTAAATCCAGTGGCAGATCGAGAGAACTCATTGCGTTTAGCTCGGACTATATGTGTGTGAGGAAAAAAAGGCACATATATAAGAAGCAGAATCGGCTGACTGACTTTAAATCTTGGATTCGCTTAGATCCTATTTTAAGACGCTGTAATATCTCCTTTTTTCTTGGATTCTTTGCAGATACTAGCAGAAAAGCGCGCGAAATGTACATGCACAAATAAGTAAAAGAGCCACATATCAAAAGTTGAGGGCAGGACAAGCTTTTATACTTTAAAGGAGGATGAAAAGGAATTGACAATGGAAATAGCAAGCAGAAGTGGATTCCCTTTGGCACTTGAAGAAGAAAATGGGGTTGGCATTTTGGTGGGTAAAAAGATAGAAGCAAAGTATTTGATGTAACATAATAAACTCCTTTCATCAAAGAAGTGTCCGGGTTAGTTTGCGTCGCACCTTGACTATTTCACCGGATATTTGCCATCTTCTATTGTATAGGTTGTGGAATACTTGCTACTGCTATCAATATTAATATCGAGTAGCTCCGTCCATCGAACGACGTGATGTAATATAATAAATTAATTGTACATATACTTCCTCCATCTTAAATTATCTGTCGTGTTTTTCTTTTACACGCACCTTAAAAAACATTAATTAGGAGGGGTTTTAAACTATTTTACCCTTATTTATGTCTTAAGATATGATCTATCTTTATTAAATATTTACTTTATTTATGTGTTATTTTTATTTTCAAGAACAATCATTATTAAAGATAAAATAGGAAAATATAATTTATTTTGTATAAATTTTTGAAATAACAAATAATTTTAGATAACTATTTTTAGAAATCGTGACAAATAATATGAGAAGGAGGGATTTGTTATAAATAGAATCCTATTTATGGTGAATGTCCATATTTAGAGAGATTCTAGGGTTCATTGCTTGGTGGCTAAGTCACCCTCTCCCTATAAATAGAGGGTTGTATTCCATTGTAATTCATCCCAAATCAATAAGAATTCTCTCTCCCAATTTTTCTCTGTAATACTCTTCTTCTTCTTTTATTATTTTATAACACGTTATCAGCACGAGACTCTACCGTCTCAAGAAGCTCTTTGAGAAGATTAAGGTAATTTTCTCCTCTTTTTAATTATGACTGACATTATGAAAAGAAAGTTCGTTGCCCTTGAAATTTCGGGCAAGAACTATATGACATGGGTGTTGGATGCTGAAATCCACTTAGATGCAATGGGTCTTGGAGACGCCATTAAAGACAGAAATAAAGCATCCACCCAAGACTGTGCTAAGGCCTTGATTTTCTTGCGCCATCACCTTGATGAAGGGTTGAAAATTGAATATCTCACAGTCAAAGATCCACTTATTTTGTGGAATGACTTAAAAGAAAGATATGACAACTTAAAGTTGGTCACTCTTCCACAAGCACGATATGATTGGGCTCATCTGAGGCTCCAAGACTTTAAGTCTGTTTCTGAATATAATTCTGCGATGTTCAGAATTACTTTTAAATTGAAACTCTGTGGAGATACTATCAGTGATTATGATATGCTTGAAAAAACGTTTACAACGTTTCATGCCTCCAATATGGTTCTGCAACAGCAGTACAGAGAGAAAGGTTTCAAGAAGTACTCTGAGCTGATTTCTCTTCTTCTTGTGGCTGAGCGAAACAATGACTTGCTCATGAGAAATCACGAAAATCGACCCACTGGGTCTACACCATTGCCTGAAGTGGATGAGGTGTATTCCCATTATGCTAAGCGTGGAAAAGGCCGTGACTCTATACGTAGTCGTGATCGTGATCATAGTCGTAACCGTGGTCGTGGCCGTAGACAAGGAAGAAATTTTCCTGGTGTTAATCATCCCCCAAAGAGAAATAACCACCAAAAGTGGAAAGGGAAAGATGAGAAGCCAAAAGCAAATGGTTCAGAAACTGAATGCTATCGTTGCGGTGGAAAAGGGCATTGGGCAAATATTTGTCGTGTACCAAGACATTTGGTTGAGCTTTATCAAACATCTCTAAAGAATAAAGGCCCTGAAGCTAATTTTGTCTATGACAATGAATTTGACATCACCCACTTAGATGTGGCAGACTTCTTTGAGCGCCCTGATGAAAAAATAGACCACTTGATCGGTGATGGATCTGTGGTTAAAGAAGATTAAGTAGTTTGATTTTATTTTATTTTATTTTGCTTATTCATATTAGTTAGTGAATAAACATCATGTAATTATCGTAGTTTACATGAGTAGTAGTTTTAATTAGTATGTCGAATTAGTATAATCTGTCGTTGAATAAAGTTTGAGAGTGGTCAAAATTTATAGTTGGTATCAGTTGTAATTTATCAGTTGAAACTATTTGCTAAAGTTTTTAAATCAACTGACACTATACGAATTTTTAAGCCAGGCGTGAATCCATGTTTACTACTGTAATGCAGCAACATAAGTTAGTCTTTTCATCTCCACTAATCAGTGCTAAACGAAAAAAAAAAAACTATTATTCGTTAAGAACATAAAGGTCTAACCTTCAACTCCTTCTTCCCGTAAAGTGCATGCCTTCTGAAAACACACCCCGTACCAACATATATTAATCCTTGTATACCATCTAAGTCTTTCATGTTAATCTGTAAAGAATTTTAATAAATTTTGTTTCCTAATCAAGTTGTTCAATCAAAGATTGTGTCTTACGGTATTTTTTCTTTATCTCTGAAAATACTAATATTTATTTGTATATTTCTTTTGTATGTCAAACCATGGGAAGCAAATATGGATATCTCACAAAACAAACTTGGATCAAAGTTCAATTGTAAAAATATTTGCTTAGTTGATTCATGTACAACACATACAATATTCAAAGAGAAGAAATATTTCTCTCATTTAAGTATGTGTAAGGCAGATGTTACTACAATTTCTGGTAGTAGTAAATTAATTGAAGGCTCTGGAAGAGCTACTATAACTCTGCCTAAGGGAACAATACTTATTATAGAGAATGCAATGTTCTCCTCCAAGTCCAAGAGGAACTTGTTGAGTTTTAAAGATATCCGTCGAAATGGATATCATATTGAGACAATAGATGAGAATAATCTTGAATATCTCATCATTACCAAAAATGTCTCTGCCCAGAAAAGGGCTATTGAGAAGTTCCCATCTTTGTCTTGTGGCCTGTATTGGACAGGAATTAGTGCAATTGAGGCACATTCTATTGTAAACCAAAAGATTACCGATTCCAATACTTTTGTACTTTAGCATGATCGATTGGGACACCCTGGATCAATTATGATGAGACGGATTATAGAAAACTCAAATGGGCATCCATTAAAGAATTTAAAGATTCTTTTAAATAATAAATTTTCTTGCACTTCTTGTTATCAAGGCAAGTTAATTATTAGACCATCACCAACAAAGGTTGGAATTGAGTCCCCTGCGTTTTTGGAACGTATACAAGGGGACATTTGTGGACCTATTCACCCACCTAGTGGGTCGTTTAGATATTTTATAGTCTTAATAGACGCATCTTCTAGATGGTCCCATATGCCTATTGTCATCTCGCAACCTCGCGTTTGCAAAATTAATGGCACAAATAATTCGATTACGGGCACAATTTCCCGATAATCCAATTAAGTCTATTAGACTTGATAATGCTGCTGAGTTTTCATCCCAAGCATTTAATGATTATTGCTTATCAATTGGGATAAAAGTGGAACATCCTGTAGCTCATGTTCACACTTAAAATGGTCTTGCAGAGTCTTTAATTAAACGTCTGCAATTGATAGCAAGACCGTTACTCATGAAAACCAGGCTGCCCACTTCTGTTTGGGGTCACGCCATTTTACATGCAGCAATGCTAGTTCGTCTCAGACCGACAAATTATCATAAATATTCCCCGTTGCAATTAGTTTTGGGTCATGAACCTAATATATCCCATTTAAGAATTTTTGGATGCGCAGTATATGTGCCTGTAGCACCGCCATATCGCACCAAAATGGGTCCCCAAAGAAGGTTAGGAATATACGTTGGGTTTGAATCGCCCTCCATTATTCGCTATCTTGAAACATTAACGGGGGATTTATTCACTGCTCGATTTGTAGATTGTCGATTCGATGAGACACTTTTCCCAAAATTAGGGGGAGAAGTTGGTGAAACCAAACGAAAAATTTTGTGGAAAAATCCATCATTATCTCATCTTGATCCACGCGCCTCAATTTGTGAAAAAGAGGTGCAAAAGATTATTCATTTGCAGAGAATAGCAAATCAAATGCCAGATGCATTTACGGATATGAAAAGGATAACAAAATCACATATCCCTGCGGAGAATGTTCCAATCCGTATTGATGTCCCTATTGGACAATCTTCTAGTGTCATAGCTAATGAGTCAAAAGCACGCCTTAAACGTGGCAGACCATTAGGTTCCAAAGATCGAAATCCTAGAAAAAGGAAAACAAATGATCAAAATGACACTACGAAAGAATCTCATGAAGAAATCCACGATTTAATAAATTCTGAGATTCATGAGGAATCCACTGAGCCCGAGACTCAAGAAAATAAGGAACTATCAATAAATCCAATCGATATTGAGACAAATTTGAATCGAGTGGATATAGTGGTGGATTATGTCTTTGCATATAATGTTGCATCTAGCATTATGCAAGAAAGTGAGGATCTTGAACCTCAGTCTGTTGGAGAATGTCGACAAAGACTTGATTGGCTAAAATGGCAAGAAGCAATCCAATTAGAGTTGAAGTCGCTGGCAAAATGTGAAGTTTTTGGGCCTGTAGTCCAAACACCTAATGGTGTTAAGCCTGTTGGCTATAAATGGGTCTTTGTACGCAAGAGAAATGAGAAAAACGAGGTACAAAGATATAAGGCACGCCTTGTTGCACAAGGATTTTCACAAAGGCCTGGTGTCGATTATGAAGAGACATATTCACCCGTTATGGATGCTATAACGTTCCGTTATCTCATTAGTTTTGCTGTCCATGAAAAGCTTGACATGCATTTAATGGATGTGGTTACCGCCTACCTTTATGGCTCACTTGATAATGAGATATACATGAAAATTTCCGATGGATTTAAAATGCCAAACGCACATAATTTAAAGTCCCGGGAAATGTTTTCGATCAAATTGCAAAGATCTTTGTATGGTCTAAAGCAATCAGGACGAATGTGGTATAATCGTCTTAGTGAGTATTTATTAAAGGAAGGCTATATAAATGATGCCATTTGCCCGTGCGTTTTTATAAAGAAAACATATCGGAATTTGTTGTACTTGCCGTATATGTTGATGACATAAACCTTATTGGAACTCCTATAGAACTCCAAAAGGCAATTGATTATTTAAAGAAGGAATTCGAGATGAAAGATCTCGGAAAGACAAAATTATGTCTTGGTTTGCAAATTGAACATTTGGCAAACGGAATTTTTGTTCATCAATCTGCCTACATAGAAAAGGTACTGAAACGGTTTTACATGGATGGAGCACATCCATTAAGTACTCCGATGGTTGTTCGATCACTTGATGTGAATAAGGATCCATTCCGACCTCAAGAAGAGAATGAAGAGCTACTTGGTCCTGAAGTACCATATCTTAGTGCAATTGGTGCATT